CCTCCATCCTGGAGGGGGGTCCATGACGTCACATATCGCACACGTCTGTTGGGGAGCACAATTTTCTGTTCTTGCCTCAGCGCAAAAGGAGCTAGCTTCGGCTCTGCACCACATCAATGAAGTAATAAAATGAACTAGGATAACAGTAATCCAGTACGTTAGTAATCTCACGTGCCCCACTCAATATGGCCGCCGCTTGAGTGGGGTACGTGAGATTAATAACGTGCTGGATTACTGTGATCCTAGTTCATTTTATTACTTAATTGCTGTGGTGTATTTTGTATAGGGCAATGCCTTGGCTAGCGCTCGTGCAAAACAACTTTCTTGGGCAAACCTCTTAGTTCTAATGAAACCGTAAGTCAGGCGGTCGCAGAACTCAATAAGTTCTCAGTGTCGACAGATCACCGAGGAGAAAATGACATAACACACTGCTCGTGAAGGCAGCGTGCCACCGCTCTACGCTGCTTCATGTGCAGTGTGTCACAGCCTTTATACTCTATCAGAAATGTAAAAAAAAAAAGCCTTTAGAAATCGTTTATTGTTTGTTTTGGGTTTCTGTGTTTTCCTCTATGCAGATTTTACGCCCTCTTCATACTCATGAAAAGCATAGAAAAACAATGGAGCGTTAGTTACAACACTGGCTCAAATAGAATGAAATAGCGACTGTGCAGGCAGCTGCCTCTATCATTTTCCTATGTCTTTGTCTCACTTCCAGTGTTATTTACACCGGCACCGAGGACGGTTGTTCTACTTTAGTAGTATCACTCCTGTATTATGTAGAACTCCATTCAATGAAAGCTGTGTTCTGCCTAGCAACGGACTGTACTAACAGCGCTTCCCAATTTCCCATTTATCTGATACACTTTTCAAATGACTAACTGGAGAAAATTCCTGAAACGTATTTATCTGAAAAATAAACCTTAACAGCATAGAACATCTCCGTGTTTTTATAAACGTCTTTTCAGAAGATATCCTCCCCCCTTCTTGGGTCAGTGGTTGGTGCCGTTGCTCTGGAGACGCAATACCGTCTCTGTTGCGGGAAGTCACATTCACTGTGGAGTCCGCTGTAATTCCAATGGAAGTCATTTGTTGAGTTGTAATGCGATGCTGAACATATAACAGGTAAAAAGAAAACACGTGTTATATCGATTGTATGTCTCTTTTCTCATATTTTTTCCGTTCATTAGATAAGAAAAGTAAAATGATTACGGAAAGCTAAGCTGGCCATACACTCAGAGATTTGTTTTCAATCAGCATGCGGGCAATACCAAAAAAACTTAACAGACTCCTCCATCCAGAGGTGATGGTTTGCACCATAGTGTCGATGCTGAACACGCGGGACCCATGCATTAAGAGCGCGTGCTGAATGCTACGTGCCCTGTTGCATTGCAATTAGCTCTCCGTGGCACCCTAAAGTACCACCAGACGGGCATGTGTTGAAGTGCAACGTGTTGTAGCACAATAACGTGTGTTGCGTTGTTGTGTGGTGAAAAAACAAAAAGTACATGCACTATTTTATTTATTGCATGGCAACACAGTGAACAGTACTGCACTTAGGGTTGCCACCTTTTCTTCCAGCGAAACCCGAACACTCTAGCAATGCACGGACATTTTTGGGGGGAGAATGAGTTGCGGCTTATTCATATGTAAATAGTACCACCCATTCATATGTAAATATCACAGTCAAGACTATTCTCAGTGGGGGGCCAATAGCCCCTATCTTAATTTTTGTTGCCCCTGTCTGCCTGACATCTTGTGTCTGGGTTTCTGCTGCCATGAAACCCGGAAACAGCATTCAAAACCCGGACTGTCCGGGTGAATCCTGGACAAGTGGCAACCCTGGCTGACCTACCACTCGCCCATCAGGAGGTGCGCTGGGGTGCCATTATGAATCAATGGCAGTGCAACAAGCCAGTACCTGTGTGTGGTACCACGTACTGTGCAATAGCATGCGCTAAACGCACAGATGTGTTTTTGTGTGAACGCCCTGAAACAGCTTGGATGGAAGAATCTCCTGCTGCAGCTACTGTATTCTGAAGACCAACACCAATAGGTGATTGGCTGCAGTCACTGTTCTGCAAGAGATTTTCTATCCAGCTCCTTCAACAAAAGTCAATTGAGTAACTGAGTGTGTGACCCTGCTGGCTCAACAAAAGTAATTTATTCAATTGACTTTTGTTGAACCGGCAGGGTCACACACTATAGCCATCATCCAAAAATCCTACTGTGTATGGCCAGCCTTCAGGTCAACAGACGAGTTACAATGTGACTGGACAACCAACTTTAGATTTGCCAAAACTATGTAATATGAGGACCTACCTAATCTTCCCAATCATTTTATATCCAATCAGGCAGGCCCTTCTACTACATGGTTGCTGATAGATCTAATAGGGGATTGTACAATCAGATGCATGTGTGGTGACTGTTAGTTGTCACATACAGTGAGGGGAAGTTATCAAAACTGGAGCAGGCAAAATATCTGGAGCAGCCAACCAATCACCTTCTCTCTTTCATTTTCAAATCTTTTTTAAACTTTTTTTAGTCATTTTACAGTAAAACAAAACAAGACACCAACATAGCGTCATAATTGTACAGTACAATTAAAAAGTACAAATAATCAGGGCAGAACCGACCCAGTCCCAAAGAAAAAAGGAGACTGCAATCTAGCTCATCGGCTGACTATGTAGGAAACACACATTCAGTTACATAAAAATCTAAACAGACACCTTTAGGGCCAGAGTACAGTTTCCCACCCTATTTGGTCCCCTTTAGTAATAGGACTAGATGTCAGTGGTGCTCAAATAATCTGGGGGCAGTTGCTCAAGGTGTATATAATTAGCCAGCCACAGTGCTAGACGACTGGAGCCATGATGAACATATTTTCTCAAATTTCTAAGGACAACCTCTACTAGCATAGGTCGCTTTATAAAGGGGAATGAAGCATTGACTAAAGACGTCCAAGCCCCCAATGTAGGTGCCACCGATTTCCTCCACTGCAAAATGATACGTTTCCTAGCATAAAATAGCAAGTAAGTAAGGAGGTTACGGGACACCACAGTAGGAGCCAGTCTTCATTTTCAAATCTTAACTTAACAAACTAAAGAGAGAAGCTGATTGGTTGCCATGCACATCTGCTCCAGTTTTGATACATTCCCCTCACTGTATATAGCATTGTGTCTATTTTAAAGAAATTGCATTTGCTATTATAGCTTTAGAACTGCTGAAAAATAAAGGAAACTATTAGATTCACTGGATTTTACTGTATTTCTATGTTGGTTGACCACACATTATATAGAATAACATTTTTCACAAGGTAAAATATAAAATAATCGCTGGGAGGTGGGGGTTTTTTTGCATAGATGACACACAAAGTCTCTTCTTCCAAAAAAAAGTCTCCCTCTTTCCCCAACATTTTTTTAAAGTGACACTAAACTTAGGAGTTAAAGCTTAAAAATGCATTTAAGTACCTTAACTATTAAAAAAAATGTAGTTTACAATCTCATGTTTAGTTTACTAATTTGTTCTGAGGTTGTAGTCCATCACGTGATGGAGACTGGAGCGGTGGCTACTTCACAACACAAACAAGGACAATGAGGAACAAAAGTAGCCACCTTCCAGGAGGAAGGATCCCAGATAGCAAGGATAACTTGCCACAAACTTGTGTCGGGGTTAAATTGTAATTCTTGTTAACTTGCTGCACACATTCCTGGCAAGTTGTAGACTTGCAGAAAACTTGCAGCACAACTTCTAGTTGACACTTTTTGAATTTGAAGCAAATTTGCTTAGTAAGTCTACAGCAAGAGTCCTGCAGGTCCTAGCAAGAGCTCTGCAAGCTCGCTGGTCTGGAGACTTGCAATCACTGGCGGAACTACCAGGGTCGCAGCGGTCGCAATTGCGACCGGGCCCTGGCGTTTGGCCATTTGGGGGGTCCCAACGAGGAAGAAGAGGGCCCCCCCTCCAGAGAGTTGCCGCTACATCCCTGCACAGCCACCCTGCACAGCCAGCCATGCACAGCATGTACGGGCAGCTGTGTGGCAGGGATGCATTGCCGTCCGCACGCACTCAGACCGGCACAGTTCCTTGCGGCCTTTGGTTTCTTGCACCGGGGCCCTGGGGTTTCTAGTTACGCCTCTGCTTGCAATGCAGACTTCCTGTAATTGTGCAACAAAATTGTGAAGCTTGGCAAGTCTGCAATAGTTTAGCAAGTCATTTTCAAACTTGCAGCTCATTAACTTGCTATCTGGGATAGTGTCAGCATGAATTCAGGGATGATTTGAGGATCACGTGAAATATTTTGTGTGCACTGTAGGGACCATGCCATAAATCTATTTGTTTTTTGTATGGGTAAAGTTTCACTTTATTGTTACAACAGTACAAACTCTTTAGGGTAAGACACAATTCTGACCTGTCTATTGTCCAGGGCCTTGTGGTTCATAACTGGTCAGAACTGTATCCCTGATGATTTAGAAAAGGGAGACCCGAATTCCCCATGCAGACCTATATGTTCCGAGTGGCAGGAGTGGGGCTGCTTTTGCATGAAGAAAATGGAGGAAAAAACAGCCATAGAGCAAGGTGCTTTATGGTACACTGACCTCCCTTTTGGGTCTGGATGAGAACACTAATAAAGCAGAGAGTGTCAGGGTTATGGGAAGGCAAAAGAAAGTGGAGCCCTCGGAGCTTTATCCAGCCCTCCGGCTCCCATTATTCAGAGTACATCACCGTGACCAATGTCAGTGCTCTAATTGTACCATAGGCTAGTAGAAGCCATTACATGGGCCAACTGGAAGTCCAGCAACAGAAACAGGAATGCTAACCCAGATCTTGTTGCAGCGTGTCTGCTTTCCGATCACTAATTGTTCTTAAAAAGTACATTTTCATTTCTATGTGTAATTTTCTTTGAATTGGTGATATCAGTAATTATTTCTATTGACAAGCATTGCCCTCTTTATTTTAGGTTCTTTAAATGTATAAGTTATATGTTTATACATTGCAGGGATGTCAGAATGGATTTACAAACAGAAAACATGGCTCACATTTTGGAAAATGATAATTTTTTTAAAACGTCATAGTAAGTATAGTTATCTTTGTCATTATTTCATTTTTTTTCAAACACAAAACCTTCCTACTCCAAAATGTCATGCCACAGCCTGTAAATACACAGACAGCATTCCCTAATGTAATTTATCAAACACACAAGATGGCTGATTCCAATGTGTATAGGTGACACGTACACCTTTACAAAGATCACCAACTACGTATCCATTTATAACATGCATTTGCAGAACACAATGGTTCGTTTAAAGCGTAACTAAAGCCAACATTTGTTTTTTAGTTTTGGATAGAGTTGAGAGAGATTAGAACATCTGTGAGGTTTTTATTGCTGCCTGTGTCCACATTATGGAGATTCACCCGCCTTGTTTGTCCTGGTGACTGTTTTTACCTACGCTATAAGGTGGACTCATCCTTTAAATTACGTATTCCCTTTAGATATTTATACATAAGAATTATTATCAATTGGTTCTTGCTGTGTAGAAGAGAAAGTCATATCTACCATCTGCTGACCACCATTAATCTGTAGCTCTTGATATCTGTGTTATCCATAACATGCTTTTTATATTAGAAGCTTGAGTTGCTACGTATATTGGATTTGTTCATGAATTATTTATTGTGATTAAATGGAAGCTGCCGGTATATGTTTACATGTAATGGTTTTGTGTTACTATTAGCCAAGAACCAGAAGAAGGCTTGAAATCAGTTCCCATAAGAGCAAAACCTTTGTGGCAGGATGTGAAAGTCAACAACCTGAAGTATGATGAAGGATTACTGGTGACTCATGTCAATCAGACACATGATCTGCTGGTAAGGAGGATTGCTGTTTGCGGATACAGAATCAGCTATGTTGTTCAGAGGAGAGGCAGGCAAAGCATACAATTCATCAATAAATAAGGAAGGATGTTTGCTTGTCTGTGTCGATCTGTTTTTTTTTTTGCCCTGTTTGGCAGAAAAGCTAACTCGAAATCTCATTTTGACCTGCTGTAACACCAAAGTCCTGCTTGTCCACAGATTTCAAACTGATGTGATCTTGAATATACACAAACTGTGATATAGGCAAAATCCAGACGCAACCAAATGCTTGGATAGATCAGTACAAGATCTAAGAACTGGAGACAATAATTTCTATACTTCATAATAAAGGCATCTGGAGATCTCTGTTAAAACAAAGAGATTACCAAGTGAACATACCACAATAACGATCACATTTGTTGTGTGGTAACTTTGTTCTTTGCTTTTGTATTGCCATTCTTTTGTTTTAACTGATGCTCTAAATTCAGTCCACACCACAAGCAAAAACCTGGCATGACTGCCTTGTTTAATAGCTAAAATAATTATATGTTTTGTAACTTTTAATCTGCTTGATAGAGCAGATTAAACCTTTCCGGGAGAAAATGTTTCTCTCCCGGGCGGCCGGGAGCCGCTATCTAATAGCGGGAGACTCCCGGAGCTTCCGGGAGAGTTGAGATGTCTGCAATCAGGTCAGCCAAATTTCAGATGGGGCAAGTTGCCTTTGTTTCATTATCTTTAAAGTGGAACTATAACCTCTTATCCTTTACAGCTAAAGAAGGCATCATCTTAGTCTCTATTTGGATTGCAGTTGCCATGGTGCTGCACATGCGATCAGCTATGACACCTATGGCTCTGCTTTCCCTGGTGTTCCTAGACCAGCCTTTCTCAGCCAGGGTGCTGCGACACCAGGCTTTGTCAGGGGTGCCTTCAAGTTTTCACATGCATGCATGTAGGTGAACTGTCCGCCATCACCATGGAAATGCATGATGCTAATCCAGGGTGGGCTGCACCTTCCCCAGCAGGACAAGAGGTCAGAAATCTGCCTCTGTCCAGACCTGCTCCATGTTCCACCCTATGCCATGCTGCTGGAACTTTGTGGAGATTAGAAGGGATGACTCTCATGTGAAGGGTGGACAGCAGACTCTGATATGAAGAGGGCCTCCTAAATGTGAAGGGATGGGGCTTCTGATGTAAAGAGAAGGAACTCTGATTGGAGGCAGGCTTGTGATGTGAAGGGCTAACTCCACATCAATTTTTGTTTGTTTTGTGTGGTGTCCCCCCTTAAAGTCTGTACCAGACCCTTAGGCTCTGTACCAGACCCTAAGGGTCTAGTCAAGATTTGAGGGGGAAACCACAGGTAAGTTTTTTAATTAAAAAATTTTATGTTATAGACTGGAGTGCCTCAAAATTTTGCACATTGTGCTGCAGAGAAAAAAGGTTGAGAAACGCTGTCCTAGACCTTCCATGACATTCTCTGTTTTGAACCCCCATTCCAAAAAGTTGGGACGCTGTGTAAAATCTACATAAAAAATAAAAAGACAATGCAATGATTTAATCCCGTAGACCCATATTTTATTCACAATAGAAAACAGAAAACATATGAAATGATTAAACTGAGAACATTTTAGGTACCATTTTAAGAAACAAGGACATTTTGAAATTGATGGCAGCAACACGGCAACAAAAAGCTTGCAAAGTAGGTGGTACTAACAAGAAAGAGCTGGAAGAACAATTTGCAACTAATTAGGTTAATTGGTAACAGGTCAGTAACATGATTGGGTATAAAAAGAGCATCTTAGCGGGTCACAGTGACTCGGAAGTAAAAATGGGCAGAGGTTCACCAATCTGTGAAAAGCTGAGTCCAAAAATTGGCAAACAATTGCAGAATAATGTTCCTCAACGTAAAATTGCAAAGAATTTAAATATATTATCTACAGTACATAATATCATCAAATGTTTCAGAGAATCTGGAGAAATCTCTGTGCACATGGGACAAGGCTGAAACGCAATACTGGATGCCCTTCGGGCCCTCAGACAGCACTTCATTAAAAACAGTCATGGTTCTGACACCGTGGTAAACATGGCCCTGTCCCAACTTTTAGAAGATGTGTTGCTGCTATCAATTTTAATATTACCTTATTTTTTACCATTCTTAAAATGGTAAATGTTCTCAGTTTAAACATTTGATATGTTTTCTATTTTCTATTGTGAAACAAATCTGGGTTTATGAGATTTGCAAATCATTTAATTCTGTTTTTATGTAGATTTTACACAGTGCCAAACGTTTCTGGAACTGGGGGTGTATAAAATAAGTCATATTTTATTTTATTTATATTCAAATTATACAGCCAGCTGGGAACTGTGCATGCTTAGCCAATAGGAAATAGGATTTGCCATATGAGCATATTGTCATAGTGGCCTGGTGGAGGGAGGGGTGTTTCTAAATAAATTCTAGCCTGTGATTTCTGGTGGGTTCTTTATGTTTCTTTGAGGATACATTCACTTTGGCATTTTTGATGTAGATACCATCCTCTCCGATAAGTTTAAAGTGCTGTAGCTCTGATATGGTTTAGCTGGATCAAGCAGAGATATAACACTGACACCTAAATTGACTGTGCTAATTTTCAAAAGACCACAGGGGCAAATGATGGCAAACGCTGTAAGAAATTGTATAAACAACACCAAGGTCCTGTCAAATTTGTACCCAGCACAGCACTTGCATCTGTTAATGGACAGTTAAAGGGACATTAAACCCTCAGATTTGTTAACATTCACCAATACTGTAATGTGGGCCTTACTGCAACCCATGGTTGTTTCCCTTCTCTTTGCTGTTCTTCCTTTTAAATTTGTATCTCTTCTCATGCTGGGGGAGAACTTCCCATTGCAGCTGAGTGCCTCTTCCTGTAGTGCTGGCTCAGGTTGTGAACCTTCACACAGACACTATGTATCCATTCCTGAGACAGGGCAGTCTGCTGCAAAACAGAAGTTCCGCAGAGCATGAGAAGAGATACGGATTTAAAAGGAAGAGCAGCAAAGAGAAGCGAAACTACCATGGATTACAGTAAGGCACACATTACAGTATTGTTTTATGTTAACAAATCTGAGGGTTTAATGTCACTTTAAGCAATCAGTAATGCCTTGCTTATGGTCTTGTTGAATTTTAGTGAGCATTAGAGCTCTAGAGCTCAGCTAATAAGGATGTGCATGGCCAATCTGCACAAGCCCAGACACAAAACACTATTGAGGACTTGATATGATTGGTATCATGAAACAGATTCTTAATATCACTACTACTGATAGTATGTATATGTTTAGGACTTATTCAGCAACTCATAGGACCTGCTCCAAAAGAGCACAATGATGATTTTCAGTTTTTCATTAAAGTGACTTATGCCATCTAGTGGTTTAGATTACATTCTGCATTACATCTCCATTTCACTTCATTCTGTTCTCTCTCATCTTTCCTAGCAAAGCCACCTTTTACCGGCTACAAACTTTAAAGTGTATTTCTACTTTTGCAGCCAAATTGAAAACACCTACTTTATATTTGTTCCATTCACATAGTATTACTTTAAAAAATATTTTAAAATACTGCTTACCTTTATAAACACTATTTTCTTATGTATAATACTGCTCAAAAGAAACAACTAAGATAGTAAAACAAATAATTATTTTTAGGTATGCTGTGTGAATGGGGACACATAACAAACATATAGTAGAGTTTTCTCAAATGTGACTCCAAAGGTTGAAATATACTTTAAGCTACTGCCAAGCCTTAGGCTTTTATTCTTCCTTGCCCATCATCACTTTATTATTGAACTGTACTGGCTGACAGAGAAAAATATATCATGTATTAAGGATGTCCTAAAATGGGGCAGACTCAGCTAAAAGTAAGATGATTTATACTGTAATTGTCCTTTAACTTGCAACAAACTAAGTGAGGAATGGCTGATGTCAACATCTGTAAGTTATGCCTGCAAATACATGGGTTAGTATTCACCCCTTCTGCTGCCATTGCCACCGATCTCTGCTGCCTTTGTGAACTAAACTTGCTGAAAAATCTTCTGCATCCAAAATACTGTGTGTGTCGGATGCCTGATTCCCCGCCGTACTCCTACTAACATTCCCTACATCATTAATGTGTCCTGTAGTGACGCAGGGGCAGGAGGAAGGTACCACAACACTCAAAAGGGGACCAGTTACCTGACACACCCAGAAGTGTCGGATGCAGGAGATTTTTCAGCAAGTGTAGCTTGGATAGATGGCAAATATCAGCGGCAGGGGGGGTAAGTATTGACCTTTTGCAGGCATGGCTTTGCTTTTTGCTTTAAAATGAACTTGTGGTCAAATCCAAAAATGTTAACAGATTTAGCAGAGAACAGAAATCATGAACTGTCACTACATCTTTTATTTTAGACATTATCTACCCAGCAAAACCTGCAGCCCTGATTTGCTTATGCTAATATCAACTTTTTCAAAGTCAGTATTTGCATAGACATATACAGTGCATGCCCCTACTGCCACCTCGCACATTACTTTATTTGTGCATGGTAATAATTCACTCAAATGATGGGCATTACATTAGATGGATTGTATTGGAGATTGTGGATGTGGAAACAGGGCTTGGCCAACATGGTTTATGGTGGCAGGTTTGCCTGGGGAAGCACACTACCATCTACATATCATGCTTCATCAAGGTGCCCATCACAGCAATCCTTTCTATTGCTGTCCATGCACAGTTTTTGTTTTTCATTTTTGGTGATAGACTACTTTGTGCAGTTCAGACCACTCTTGGTCCATGCATTACTGCAAGTACCATAGGGCAACAGTGTGCCATATGTTTCTGTTCATTGGTTTCAGAACTAGTGATGCAGAGTGGGCATTTTTTCCTGTGAGGCATGTGGCACAGCACAGTTGGCCAAGGGGGCACAAAGTATAACTCCGGCCCTGTGGGGGATCAGCCTTCACAGAAGGTATGAAAGCCATCTTTAGCATGTAAAACATTGAAAGCCTCTGGTGTAGAATATTGCTTGGAAGGAATAACACATTCTTTCTGGAAGCAAACATTTCCTCTGGGGTATAGATTTGTAGTATGCAGACACAAAGAATGATTACACATGATGCATTATTCTTCCGATATGCAGAGATTGACAGACACAGAAAATGGAAAGAGTGATTCTCAGAGCTCTGAAGATTGGATTCAGTACAATGGCATTGAGTCCAGGCATCTCACCATTCAAGATCTGCTGAACCTTGGACACATTGTCATGTAAGTATTTTTGCAAATGGCAGCACATATCCTATACAGTCCTGTACAAATCAATAATTCAGTTGCAGGATTGATATATCTGTTTCTGGTTATCTGTTTCCTCCAGATAACCATGGATTACACCTATATCGCACCAAAAACCAAATGAATACATGTATCTTGTCTCGCTCACCCTAGGCTAAATCTTGTAAACACTAGTTTGTAGAGCATCATGTACAGTAGATCTTCAACTTTCCTGAGGCACTTCATCTTTAGTCTTGGAATATGGACAACAGAGTGTCAGCTGTATTTTTATTTTCTCTGTGTTGGCCTGGTAATAAATCATTGTGATCAATTGAAAACTGAAACTTTGCTTTTGTTCCAGCTATAGCTGTTATTATCCAGGCCACTTTTTAAATATTGTATATGGTAGCTATCACTATTATACAGAAGTGACAATGTGCAACTGAAGCCAAAACTTTTTTATTTTTATTTTGTAGTGGAGAGGAATTAGAACACCTGCCATGTTTTTATTGCTGTTTGTGACCCCATTAAGGAGACTCTCCCACTCTGTTAGTCCTGGTGACTGTTATCACTGAAAGTGATGGGAAATCTTCCAGTTGGGATACTAGTTCTGGTGACCCTGCTGACCACCAGGGATTTTCCTCACTTCCTGCTGTGGCTATCAGCATAGGTGCAAACTTGCCAGAAATGACCCGGCAATAACAGAGTTTTTGAATCGGTTGCAATGTCATTACGGCAATGTTACATCTCTGGACTTATTGCTTAAGCTCCTCCCACCTTTTAAAGCACAATTTGGACACACACCTACCATTCTGCCCTCAAATACATTTTATAAAAGTTCTTAGATATGGCTATAGGACAGTAAGTAAAGGGAAATGTCCCCAATGGGGCACAGATGGCAATAAAAAGTTGATGACTTCAGTTCTACTTTAAGTTACCCTCCATTTTAGTAGGTATAATAGTTTGGATTTGCTTCATGTATATTGGATGAAATTCTGCTTGATGCTAAATGATTTGTGATTCCTGTGGCAGGAATCCCAGATGTCCAGGCCGCTGTACCTGTTCAAGTTAATGAGCGTTTGAAAGCGGCCACATCTGTAAGTGACAGTCTGAGTGTAATCATATCACATACTAATTACATGCAAACTGCCACTTACAGATGTGGTCTCTGTCGTTACCTTAAATGGGTATAGCCACATTTTTTGGAATAGATCACTTCCCTGGATAGATGCATGCAACGACAGTGATCTATTCCATACCGCATGTAACTGTCATGTCCTTAACTCGAACGAGTACAGCGGCCACATTTTTTGGAACAGATTACTTTCCCTGGATAGATGCATGCAATGACAGTGATCTATTCCAAACCGCATGTAACTGTCATGTAATTCACTTGAACGGGTACAGCGGCCGCATCGAAATGGGACATCTGGGATTAGTTCCGCACCACCCAGTTTGAATGAGGGCTAATGCAGATTGTAGGGAGGCTGCGACAAGTAGACATAACTCCCAGCTAAATAAAACCTTGTTACATTGGGGGGTGGGTTGAGATGTCATTTATCAAAAAAGATTCCAAAACATAATGAAGCAATATTAGGAAGGTATGAAATGGTGAGGGGATGCTAATGAATAACAATAAACCATTAAACAATAAGCCATCAAGCACAAAGCAAAATGATGATAATCAGTGGAAGCAGAGGCTGAGGGAGAGAAAAAAGACACTTCAACTAAATAATATTCAATCCATGTTAGATATATTTCCCTGTCAGAGAGTATTTGATATATGTCTGATTGTACTGTCATAGTGATGGCAATAATAAAATGTCTATATTTTTTATACTGCTACCAAACAACCAGTTACAGTTAGGCTGTGTAGGCATATTTATGAAACATTTATATTTTCTTCTATATAGCTTTAGGGTTCTTTCACATCAGGAGCTGCATTAGAAAGTGCGCTGTCTCAGGAGCAGTGCCGATGTGCTGAGAACAGCTCATTGCACTGTAACCTTTTGTTTTTTAATCTCATACATTTTTACAGTGTCACAAAGTGGCATTTCACCAGTGGCATTTCAAAGTGTTCCATTCACCACAGCACTTTGCAATGCTGTGGTGTAAAAAAGTTCTACATGTAGCTTTTTTTCCAGCACAAACCACCGCAACGCAGTGGTGTAAACAGGCTCCTTTGTAAACAAGGCATGCTGCCTTGTCTATGCATTAGGACTCTGCTGGGCAAGGATGTCCTACACGACCTATCGATTCTGGTGTGAACAGCCCTTATGGGGGGAACTGGAGCGGACAGAATCTGGAGCAGTTGCCAATGGCAACCAATCAGCTTCTCTGTTCAGTTTTTTCATTTTCAAAGCTTACCTCAACAAACTGAATATAGCTGCTGATAGGTGCTATAAAAAAAAACAGCCTGCTCCAGTATTTATGAATTCCCCCCATTGTCTCTTTCTGACAATTTAGCTGTTGTCAGAGGGTCAGAGGTCATTAGAAGTCTGATAGTTGCTGCCTCTGTCAACTACCTGACATCACACACTGCTGCATACCCAGAAGCTGGGAAACTGTGAGTGAGGTTATGCTGTGAAAAAAGCAGCAACTAGCAGATATATAATGATACATTGGAGGCAAATACAAATCTTTATAAGCATAATTGTTGTAAATTGAGACTGTATATTCAGATTATTTTGTACCTTTTTTAAGGAAACCATCAAGAAATGCCCCCAAGCAGATTGAATTTACAGCTGAGACAATAAATGCCTTTGAGTTACAAATACGGGAGTAAGTATAGCTTTCTTTTAGCTTTTCAATTTTTTTTAATGCTGTAAAGGTCATACACATTTTGGCTTCTGAAAATTGGGCTTTTTGTGAAAACAAAAGAGAAAAGAGAAGTTCCTATGTTACCCAGTTCCACAAGCAAATGCCATACCTGTCGTTTTAAGGGCAGGTTTAAAAGTGACAAGTGGTAATGTAGAAATCTTTATATTTTTCATGTGGATGATTTATAATGTTATTAATCTGAGAAAGTATTTATAATACGAACAAGTGAACGAGGTGAAGATCTGCAGACTTCCATCATCCAATCAGGGGTGGGCAAAAATACTGTTTTTTTAATTTGCCTTGCACATGATTGGGTATTCTTTGCGTGATTCATTTTCACCACATTCACTAAGCTAAAGGGAAAGTCCCTTGCACTTCCCCTATTAGTAAATGAACCCCATTGCATCATTCATTTAGAATATGTTAAAGTATGTATTCATTTATTGTCATTCAGTAAATTTCTGCTAACTTCTTCCTGCTGGGGTTTATAATATCTCAAATAGCCTTTGGCATGTAAACTTTTATTTCCCCTTCCCACTAGCTGTGTATAAATGAATGCTAAACAGTTCCTTGTGCTTTGCTGAAATGGCCTTAGGTCATTTTTCTATATATCTATATATATTTTTCTTTATTTTGCTAAAATGAAATATTTATATGATGAACTTAGCTAGCTGATATACCCCCTGAACATTTTAGAGTGTCTACTGGATGAGAACCTGTCTACAGGGACAATATTTATAAATGGAGGAAAATGCATCAATAGGAAACAAATGGGACCAGAAAGAGATTTAAAAAAAAATGTAAATGAGAGAAAAAATAGAAATCAGAATATTGTATTGGTTGCTGTGGTTTTGAAATAACTGATGATGTTAAACATTCCAATCCATTTGATTACATTTGTTTATGCATTTATTTTGCACTTTTTTGCAGGACTATTGAAGATTGCCATAAGAGAATAAGCTGGCTGATGGAAAGCAGCAGGAAGGTTGTTTGCTCATTTCATGAACTGTCTTCTGTTAAATCTAAATTATATATTGGGGTGCCATAGTGGCTGATTCTGCATGTGATGTGAGAAGGGAGATGCTAATGACTTCATAGAGGTGAAACTCTGGTGTAAAGTGAAACCTGGTGTCCCCTTATATCTAATATAAATCCATAAACCTTGTAGTTAATCTCTTTGTTTAAAAAAAATGTTTTGCAACAGGATTGGAAGGTTTGGAGAATCCAAGGTAACCAGATCTTGTCAAATAATATAATCGTGTCTTCCTTAAGTGTGCAAGTCTTTTACCTTACATGATCCTGTTCACTCTGTTAACTACACATTGGGGGGAATGTATCAAAACTGGAGACAAAATTTGAAGCAGATTTGCACTACAGCCAATCAGCTTCTGTCTCTCATTTTCAAATCTTACCAGGGCAAACTGAAGAGAGATGCTGATTGGTTGCCATGGGCAACTGCTCCACATTCTGTTTGCTCCATTTTTGATAAATTCCCACCATTGTATTGCAAGATAGGTTTCTCCCATTAAGCAAGTACTGTATGTACTCAGACATCCTTAGAAATAAACTAGATCAACCTATGATTCAGGTTATTGATGACTCTGCATTTGTATCCTAAAAGTAATATGGATGGGAATTTTTATAATTTCTTTCTAGTGAACCTTGGACAAAAGCAAAAGGTTATGTGAACAAAATATAGAGACAACCAAACAGTTCCGCTATAAATTGTCATCACTAGTTAAGAACATCATCATATAAAGTTTGGTGAATATATTTCTATATACAGCATAAAGCAGCAGGTACAACGTAAGCTCTAGAAGGAATCCCATTAATGCCACACAATAACTGCTCTACATAAAGTGATGCTACAGTGGTACTATCTAGGGATGCTTACAGATATTTGTAGATCTTACTCACAGCTGAGCATACATTTACATTTATTATCAGGCGGTTGTATCCACTTATATTATACAGATTAAAGATGGGCATATGCTCTTTCAAGACCAATAAGCAACTCAAAGCTTGTAGGTTAGATTTTTGGTGCTAGTGAGTGTACTAATGGAACCATTGCATTAATTGCCAATATTCAGTGGGTACTTTGTTTAAAATGTTTGTACAGATGGGATCTTATTATTTAGGAAGATATGAAGGATGCAAAAGTTTTTCCATTTGAACCATGGTAAACTACATTCTCTCAATGCTGGAATCAATATGGGATTAAAGAAAATATTGATCAGGGAGGGCTGAGACTGAAATTCAAATATAATCTGTACTTTTGGCTAAAATAGCTGTTGCAAATGTTATTGTAAGAGATCAGTCCTCCACACAATGGCTGGCCATACTGGTTGATAGCATGAAATTTGATTCAATTTGAACCCAAAGAGGTGCTAAGTTATGTGTTCAGCTGTTAATTCAGTTGATTGTGATGCACAATAATATTTCCATATACATAATGTTGGAGAAAAGTATTCAGCATGGGCCTAGAACCCAAGACACAAAATCAGGCACCCAAACATGCTTGCATTACCAGCAAAGTTAGTTTCTCCCTTTTGGTGTAAATGACAGGTTCACTTTATTTTGAAGTAACTCTCGTGTTTGAGCTTCCTGACCTTATGGGTCCAGCAGCAGTTACACCCCTGCAGTTACTCCATTCAGTGATCTGTGGTTTGCATACTGTATACACATGCTCACACGCATGCCAGTTGTAATGGCTAATTAGGAATCCTAACATTATGTTTTATCCTTTTAGATGTTTGGCCTTGTAAAGGGGAAAAACGTTGGATTGCTAATAGATTCATCACATCTAAACTGTGGACCAAGGAGAATGGATTTCCTTAGAGGCCTGCTGGTAATTAATCATCTTGTTTGTAATGACATTGAGTGATGGAAGGCAGTAAATTAATTTTTATATATACACATACAGTATATTGGTTTGATCTGGATTTATTATTGAAAAAAATGTGAGAGTTGAATACTACTTTAAATGTCTTTTAGTGCCTTGTAGATGAGCAGCTTTGCTACAAGGATACAGTATATCTGATGTCCTTTGGAACTGATGTTTCCTGTCTTTGGGAATCCCCGAGGAATGTTTCTGTCCGAATGTAAGTCTCTACACTCAAGAAATACTTATTTATTCCCTGTTTTTCTTTATTTATTAGAACACTTGAATTGCTTCATTGCATTATATACAGGGGTTATTCTAGCATCAGAGAAGAGGAACATCTTCTCTAAAGCTGTCAATACACTGATAGGTTTTGGTACAAATGTTCATTCGAAAAAATCAGAACATTCAATAATGTCATCAGAGACTTGACGAATGTTGTTTGAAATGTTGTCTGTGTTTACCATTTGATTTTGGAAATGAATGGAGTTTCCCAAAGGAAAACCAGAATCACTGTTAGAATTTCGTTCGTTCAAAAAAAATTCTAAAGTCTAAGAGCCGGCTAGATCAGAGGAGTATAACTTTTTTTTGTTTTCCTCCCTAGACACAAACAAGCATTTAACCCAGGCAGTGCAGGGGTAGCTCCACGGCAAGGGTTAATAATGTTCCCCAGAGTTTTCCTTTAACACGGAATGTTCCTGCAAGAGGCGTGAATCTCACTTTTTCTGACCCCAGCCACCTTCTTGACTTGGCTGTTCATTTACACATTGGTATACATTATGCAGTTTGGAAAAACTGGTCTCACTGCACAATTCCCTGTGAACACAGCTTTATCACCAGCATTGGTTTTGCTTGAAATTGAACATTTTAACTCTTCAATCAGTAAATTATATTTACTTCCCATATACCAATAGCATTGTGCCTGTCAATATTTCTATGCAACAAAAGTTGAGCTTACTGGAGATACACAAAGATATGTGAAGTTTCTGAAATGGTATCAGTACTGAATATTTTATAACTGTTCTGTTTTCTTTTTGCATCTTGCTTTTCCAATATGGGTGTAGACTACATGAAGCAAGGCAGTGGATTCAAGAACTGCAACCTCGTGGTGGCTGTAACTTACTTCTGGCACTAAGAAAAGCTTTGCAGATCCAAGACCTGGATTCACTTGTCATTGTTGTCAGCAGCTGGTACAATTATTATTGTTTTTATACTACAGGGAAAAAGAGTATACATAGATAGATCAGGAAAGTCATGTTAAAGGTCCCTAACATGGTCTTTTCAGTAAGTTACACTTGTAATTTAAACATTTCAATCATAATAAAACATCACATCTGAAAGTCATTCAAGTCAGAAAGTGAGATGTTGCAGCAGGGGCTGATCTGTATGTATTGCATTTGTGAACACTGCCAAGAACTGCACAGGCAACAGGATTTACATGACTGTGTCATCTTTAAACCATTATCTTAGTCCTTCTGGAAAGAAAAACAGATGATGGCATTGTCAGAAGATTACTGTGATCTCTGAGAGATAGTAAATATCTGTGTTACACTTACTGTACATATTACTTAGAATGCATTAAGTTAACATGAAACAATATATTGGTATTTGGTCCAGTTTACACATAAATTGCAGAAGAACTCCAGAAAATCTAAAGATTAACCCTTGCAGTGGAGCCACCCCTGCACTGCAAAGGTTAACTCCTTGTTTTGGTCTATACTCACCTGATCCTCGATTCTGCCTGGGTGCTAGACCGGTCCCCTCAGCCTCTATCCCCCGTGGTCTCTGGTGGTCTAAGGACCCATGACATAATCTCTTCTAATGCAGCTGGATTAGACGTGAGGATGCCAAGGGACAAAAACACAGCGGTAGCAGAGGGGGAGAGAGGTGAGCACTGATTGCCGCAAGACCAAGGATCATGTGAGTGTATCTGCTTTATTCCAGTCCCTAAAAAAAAAATGAGCACTTAACCCTTGCAGTGTGGGGGTAGCCCCACTTCAAGGGTTTTACATTTTTAGATTTCATGGAGTTCTTTTTTTAATTCTGTAATGGTTTTCAACTGAAAATGATATTTATGTTTTCTTAACCACTTCAGTCCCAGCATAGTTTTATATTACTTTTTGGGGAGAAATAGAGCTTTCTTTTAGTGGTATTTAATAGCCATGCTTTTTTTTTTAATTGTTTACTATATAAAGTAAAAAAAGTCCTAAACAATTTGAAAAAAGCCTGTTTCTCTTATTTTCGTTTATAAATCATAGCAAATACAAATGTCAGGACAGTATGAAAATAACAGACATGACACCATTTTTGTAAACTAGACACTCCGAGGTGATCTGATGTTTTGCCGCAATTTTTTGAAATTGAAGAAACATGCCAGTATTGAAGGGGTTAAAACATTGAGCTTGGAAATAGTGCACAAGATTCAATAAATGTACAATTCATAGATATTTAGTGGTAGGATGGAGATGAAGGGGTTATTGTATAGATGTGCAAGGTAAGGGAGGTGAAAGGGTTAATATACAGGTCAGAGCAGAGGCAGAATGCAGATAACATAAGCAGGAGAAGGGGGGTTAAAATGATTTGAAGCTTTTGTCCACCGACTAATGAACAGGCCTTCATGAGATGTATGGGTACATTCTCCTGGAACAATGGGGCTGCGGGTCGGCCATATATATACAGTGGCCAGTCCGCAAGTGGTTAAATATTCAATTGGCTTTCAGATTTCATTTTCATAGACAAACACATTGAACACAGGCACATTCCACATTTGATATATTTTTCTAGACACAGTTATCACTGATTCATTTGCCAGCCTATTGCTCACACGACTCCATTTGCCAACCATGGTAGAGAGGGTAGAATAACAAGATAAATCAATCTGTGTCAGCTTAGTTTGTGTGAAAGAGGAAACTGACTATGGGCCTGTGTTGACAGGGTTCTATTTGCTTCAGAATTGCTACTCCCCATAAAAATCTATAGGAATGGAAAAGTAGCTGAAGCAGGTCAACTGCACCTGTACTGAATTCTGAATGATCTCAGCAGCATCTCAAGCTGATGTCGAATGTGTGCTGCTTTTAACCATGGAAGCCCATCGACACAGGCCATATAAATTGTAGAGCTTGGTGCAGGAGCAGGCAAGCACTCCAGCTGTTGTGAAACTACAAGTCCCATGAGGCATTGGAAGACTCTGATAACCACAGGCATGAATGACTCCCAGGGGCAGAGGCATCATGGGAATTGTAGTTTCACCACAGCTGGAGTGCCGAGGTTGCCTACCCCTGGTTTAGAGGGAGGCAAGACTATAGCTAGATAAGGACCTTAAGGGCCCATTCACACCAACTGTGGTGCGGTCCAGAGCGGCAGCTGCTGGAACGTACAGCAATTGCAGACAAAACTTTCCCCTTCGATCTGGGGCGGGAGGGAGTCAATGGCACCACAAAGGCCATCAAAGTCAATGGCACCGCAGCCACGCCCCCCCCTACCCACCCACAGTGCGATCGGATGCGTGGCAAAACATTGCCTTCATTCCGGTCCACTGCAAACGCAAAAAATAGAGCATGCAGCATTTTTGCGTTTGCAGTGGATCGGAACGCAGGCAATGTTTTGCCACGCATCTGATCGCACTGAGGGCGGGGGGGGGGAGCGTGGCTGCGGTGCCCTTGACGTCAGTGCACCTCCACGCCCAATCCCGCCCCAGAACGAAGGGGGAAGTTTTGTGAGCGGTTGCTCTGCGTTTCAGCAGCTGCCGCTCTGGAATGCACCGCAATTGGTGTGAATGGGTCCTTAATTAGAAGTCTGGAGAGATTGATATAAGTGGCCTGAATTTACTTTAAGTCATCATTTTAAAGCTGGCCATACACTGCGTTTTTTTCTCATTCAGGTTGAATTCCATTCAGCTGAACTGGACTCAAATGCTTGATTCCCTCATGCACGCTAAGCAGCTTGGACAGCGGAATCTTCTCTGCCAAACTATTGTTTTCATTGTCAGAATACCCAAACAGTGACTACCTTTGTCAAATGGAGGGGTGCTGGCAGGGCCACACAGAGCTCAGATTTTGTCTGGGTCGGCAGGCCAATATTTGAGCAGTGTATAGCCAGATTAAAGTGATAAGCAGCTGCAGAATTGAAAATGTGCAATTTTGTGTACTGTATTCCTTTTCCTCTTGTGTATAAATGCAGCAACAGGAGTGGGTAATAGAGAGTTGTGGGAAGTGCAGAAAGGAGCCACAAATATCTCTGAATCTCGGCACCACATAGCCAGGTCTATACCTGAAAGGTATTGATTGAGCCTTAGACAGCATGGCCTCTAACTACACCACTGGATAAATGACAGGACATATTTATTTAACGTGAGTGAATCCCATCAAGGTAGGACTTGTACTGACTATGCTGTTTATGCGTCTGCAGCCCTGACCAGGCACCAGATGTCTTAGCGGACTACATCTTGCAGTGCACCCTGGGAAAAGATCTACAACTTCAAATTGTTTCATTTGACAGCATTGCTCAGGTAATACTTTGTAGCACTCCGTGTTGTATGTTAAATATTAAGATATGTGCCAAACGAGTTGGAGCAAAAATACACTCACCGGCCACTTTATTAGGTACGCCTGTTTAATTGCTTGGTAACACAAATTGCTAATCAGCCAATCACATGGCAGCATGTAGGCATCTAGACGTGGTGAAGACGACTTGCTGAAGTTCAAACCGAGCATCAGAATGGGGAAAAAATGGGATTTAAGTGACTTTGAACATGGCATGGTTGTTGGTGCCAGACGGGTTGGTCTGAGTATCTCAGCAACTACTGATCTACTGGGATTTTCACGCACAACCATCTCTAAGGATTACAGAGAATGGTCCGAAAAAGAGAAAATATCCAGTGAGCGGCAGTTGTGTGGACGAAAATGCCTTGTTGTTGAGGTCAAGGAGAATGTTGAGGAGAATGGGCAGACTGGTTCAAGATGATAGAAAGGCAACAGTAACTCAAATAACCACTCGTTACATCTGAGGTATGCAGAAGAGCATCTCTAAACACACAGCACATTGAACCTTGAAGCAGATGGTTTACAGCAGCAGCAGACCACACCGGGTGCCCCTTCTGTCAGCTAAGAACAGGAAACCGAGGCTACAATTTGCACAGGCTCAAAATTGGACAATAGAAGATTGGAAAGCATTGCCCGGTCTGATGAGTCTCGGTTTCAGCTGCGACATTCAGATGGTAAGGTCAGAATTTGCCGCAAACAACATGAAAGCATGGAGCCATCCTGCCTTGCATCAACGGTTCAGGCTGGTGGTGGGGTAATGGTTTTGGGGGGATATTTTCTTGGCACACTTTGGGCCGTTATGTTATCATGTCAATATGGACCAAGATCTCTGAGGAATGTTTCCAACACCTTGTTGAATCTATGCCACGAAGAAAAGGGGGTCCAACCCAGTACTAGCAAGGTGTACCTAATAGAGTGTATATCTTTTTAGGGTACCCATAGACATAAGATCTTGCTCAAATGGCCAGATTGAGTGTCAATGGGAGTGTCAATGGCTGCTATTAGAAGGAACAGTGGACTGGGCAGGGTAAATTTGGGGCCTGATCACTATTGTTCTCCTGCTGATAAGCTGCCCCCTCACCTCTTCCTAGAATGTCCACTGCAACTTCTTCTTTCAGGTTTTTGAACTGTTGTGCCATTTATTTACCTGGATGGTGCATGTGATCACCCTCTTATATCTATGAGCAACTTCACAACTCGTGAGGGTGTGAGGGGGACTGTCTAACAAAACGTTTGTTCTACAATAGGCTGATTTACAACAACTGGCAGACACAACTGGAGGACGTTTTCATTGTTTCTCTTCTTGGAAAGAGGTAAATGTTAGCAGTAAATTATAGTCATCAGTGATTATCACACTTTGCCTCCTATTTAAATATAAACTATAGTTTTTCTTTAGATTTAAATGTGAATATATTTAGCTTAATGTAAATAATCATTATTATTGTGTGTAAAAGTGTAGGTAAACCCGAAACAATACTTTTAACTTATTTGCTATCTTTTGGTCTGTTACCAGGAGAATAAAAAATGGGAGGTGCCATTATTGACATGTTTTTAGACGTGCAGATTCCAGTTCCGGGGCCTATTATGGCCTATTGTGATTTTGGCTTCACCATCTAGTGAGTCAGTGACCTGAAACAAGCATGAAGCCAAAATCAGGATGTCAGCCTGCAGAGTCTGCTCCCATATAAGTCTTTCGGGATCACTTATAGTAAATATTACAAAAACTCAAAATGCATGCCTGTGACTGGACAGTGAAGGGAGAAGGAACAGAATCATAAGATAATTCCCTAAACACTCTTCTACCTCCTTCAATCAGCATGCTCTTTATTAGCACTGTAGCACAATTGACGCACTCCTTGTGCTGCTTTTCCAACTTTCAATCTGAGCTCTGCTGTACAGTGGAAGATTGTCAAATTATTATTATTATATAGGATTTATATAGCGCCAATAGTTTGCACAGCGCTTTACAATATAAGGAAGATATTACAGTCACAATACAATTTAAGACAAGATGGTAAGGAGGGCCCTGCCCGTGAGGGCTTACAATCTAAAAGGGAGGGGCAAGTGATACATGAGGAGGTAGCTGCGCGGGGATGATTGTTTGAGAAAGTGATTGTTCAGTGGTTCGTTTGAGGTGGGATAGGCTTCCCTGAAGAGATGAGTTCTAAGGGATCGCCTAAAGGCAGTCAGTGTGGGAGATAGACACAGTCATAGTCAAATTCTGGTACATAAGCATTTTGGATTTTTTTAAAATACATGTAATAATGTATTTCCCAATACAGAGCTTTTTTAAGTCATGTCTTTTTTTATCTGCTTGGAGTTTAGCTTTAAAAAAACAATGACTTGCCGAAGTGGGTTTGATCATGCGCTTTGAAGAGCTGACGGCCTCTTTACATGAGCGTCAACCTCAGTGTGCAACCTTGTGGACCCCTTGGATTTTATATATGGATTCAGCGGCATTTAGAGCCCTGTAGTTTGACCAGTGGCCCCCGGATGGAACATTGACCAGTGCACTACATCTAATATCTCCCAGTATGTCGGTGACGAATGTGCCATTGGGTCCGGCGGAAGCTCCTCCTCTCCTCCCCTCCTCCCCGTCCCACTAAGCGTCTTTCCCCATGTGTCTCCCACACTGACTCACCTCTCTATCTGGCGAGCACTCCCCCCCCAAAATGTTCTGTCCTGTGGACCTTGTGTCTTATGTGTACGTCTTTCCTTGTCCTCCTTCTTTAATGTTGTCTGGATTGAAGGGAGAAAATGCGATAATACCATCCAGCCTTAACAGTCTCCTGAATGAGACACACACAACTGTTATTGAAATATGGCGCCTGCCATGCACTACATGAGTCGATCTATGTATTTCCGTGATACTTAGCTGAATATACCCATGTGCATGTATAGGCCTGTGTCTCACAATGGAATGTACTTACATGATTCTGTACCGCATTGTTCTCCATGTTTACCTGCCTTTCATGTTAATTGTCCTAAAACCCTTAATAAACATTTATTATTTAGAAAAAAAACAAACAAACAATGACTAAGGATTATGGTGAGACAAGTTACAAAACTCTGGGGAACCAATCAGGGATCAATTTCCTGTAGTTCTTTCAGTGGAAGATTCCTTCTACTTGCTTACTATTTTATTTCACGTTTTACTTTGCTCTTTTCCTCATTAAACATGCCTACCTGTCTTATACTGATTGTCAGTGTTTTCTGTAACATCTATATGTTGTTGTTTATGACAGGATGAGATCTATGCCAGCACTGATATCAAGCTCCTGATTGAAGAGGTGCACAAAGCCACTGACATGCTGAATAAGATAAACGAAATGCGTCAAGGATCATTGGATGATACACTTATTAAAATAATGCAGGAGGTGAGCTATACTTTATGTGACTTTTAAGGGGTAAGTTTGGTTATAATTCCTTATAGTGATATGGGAGGTGTGATACTTGACAGGTTGTCTCACAGAGAGAAATGTACAGTATGTCACAGTATCAACCATTTCATATCCTGACTCCACACACGGGCAGGCATTAATGAGGGGAACTTAGCCAAAGCCTGTTTGCTAAGGGCTCATTCTAAACTTTTCTGTACTAGGTATTTTCTACGATTTTTATTTTTCAGCCTTTTTTGGATTGAATTCCTCTTTTCTGATGTTCACTGTGCAACCTGCGTGCCATGTACTCACGCTTTAAATTTGCAAATTTCGGCTATGCTGGGAAGGATGAATTTCCTACATGAACATGAATTCTTATCCAATATACATGGCATATTTAGCCATATGGAAAACCTCACTTTTCCTACATTTTAAATCACGTCATGTGTAATTGACTAGAATTAAATTTTTATAAGAATTTGCATAATTTACAGCTTGTTATTTCAAACCAGATAGTGGGAGTGGTTGCTCTCTCTGGTGAAATCCAAGAGAAGGTATAGAGCTAATGTGGGTCACATTTGGAGTCTCCATTTAAATTATGGGGTTAATTAATGTTCAGAGACTAAAGTTGTTACAGATCAAGTGTCATTCACCACCTGTAGAAAATCCTAAAGCATCCCAAAACAGTTAGCTGTATTTGCCTTGAAATTTATAGCAGCACATATCAACACTCCAGTGGCACCTCCATATGCCAGTTTTTTGTTGAAACAGAGGAACAAAATTGTCCTTTAACCCTTTGTACACCCAGCGTCTGTATGCAAGATTGGCACTTCAACTGATTCCATGCCAGGTTGCGAAAACAATTCCCCTTTCCCTAGTTCATGGCTTGGGCAGTCCCACTTTAAAAATGTTCTACTCGCCATTACTATTATTCATGTAATTTTTTTTGTTAAACATTATTACAGATTTCCATTTTTTTTCCCTTCGTAAGGCAGGACAGCTGTTTGTCCTAGTCAACCAAATAGGAGCAGCAACAACAAGGCAATATTAAATAAATCACATTCAACCATATCATGGACTTCTCTGCGGTATCAAAGATGTACCACTGGCTGGAGATGGTCCAATGTGTACTTGAGGTACTAGCTTGCCCTGCAGCAAGTGTTATATCATAGAGGGCCTTCAGTGACTGACAAGCTGACTTTTATCAAAAGAATCACACCTGGATCACTGAGGACTATCAAACACCCAGTGCAGAAAAAATATAAATCCAATTTATTTTATATACTTTTAACTAAGAAAAGACCAAGCACTTTTTTCTGCCCATTGCGAGCGGCCATGTCGCAGGGGGGCGGAGCCGGCGGGAAGTTTAAAAGTTAAAAAAAAATGTTTAAAAAAAATAGAGAAAATAATAAAGGAAAAAAAAATCATACCACCAGTAAAACGCGCGTTTCACTGGTGGAAAAACGTGCAAAAAAAAGAGCAGAAAAAACGTGCCTATGCTACGCCCAGCTGTGACTCTCCAAGCTCTTAATAAAGCATTGAATACAATCACTGTGTCCACCTATAAAGAAATAGTATTAAGAGTCTATTATGGAGCTTATATCTCTCATAGGTCTTATCTTATGAGTCTTAGTAGCTCTAGATGTTTGAAATGTGGGCAGAAAGCAGCAGATTTATATCATGGTTTTTGGAGCTGTCTCAAGATAAAGTCCCTTTGGAATTATATTGCCCAGAATGCTCAGCAAAATTTGGTGAATTATTTACCTTTACCTATAAATGTCCGTGCTGATGCACATTGCCCAGGCATATATCAGTCTTGTCACCATTTAACAAAGGACTGTGAGGAAAAAAGAACAATTGCATCCAGCAAAAATTAAGAAATATGCCCTATGAAAAAACACATGCAGCCTGTTATCACTGTAATGGATGTGGACAGGGACTGGCTGGAAAAAGGCTGCAGTACATCAACAGCATTAGGATGTAACAAAGGATGGAAAAAGGTTAAAACCTTTTCCCCCAATTCTCGTAAAAAATCAGAGCATTTTGCTACTTACTGATAATGGTTTACATCTACTCCAACAGACCTGCCAGTGCCAACAAGTCCTACACTAATCTTTCACTATGCAGTTTGCTAGGAGCACTCCTTATGCTTTCTCTATCAAAGATAAAGCACAATGTCAACATGACTGCTATGACCTTACCTTTTATAGTGAGGGGGCTGGCTTATCCAAAAGCCCCCTTATTGGGTCCGCCTACTGTAGTTAATCTGGCCTAAGTTCAAAGGCCAGAAAGTGCACTATGGTTACAAAGAATTAGGTCTGGTGAATTTCGAAAATGCTGAATCCCGCATAAGCCCATGGTAGGGGCAAACTTGAGCCTCATTCCCACCCTAAAACTAAAATATTAACTTTTTTGTGGATTATTAACTTTGTTATTCCAAACACAACTGCTCAGCTGATAAAGTTGTGGTATCGCCTTTATGCTAATTTATAAATTAAGCAATGTACTTCTTAGTAAATTCTTCTGTTTGCTGGGGTAGATGAAAATATAATGTTATTCTGTAAAGCACCCATGTGAAAATGTATATGTTTACAGATATCAACAAGGGTGGCTAAAATGCCCCCCTCTATTTTCCTTCCAAAACCTCCGAATCATGATGGACCACTAAATATAGCGATTTCCAGTTTTTCACCCAAAACTTCAGCGGAATGGCTTAAGACCAATGGGTTAAAAGGTAAGGGGCTATAAAATTAGATCAAATTACTCTAGAATATTCAAATATTTTCTGTTGTTACAAATTATTATATGTAATATATATCGTTACCTTTTATTTGTGCACATAAAAATGTTTTAATTCAATTGCAATGTGCCTTTGAGTTTGCTATGAAAATAGACCACTCCAGGAAGAGTTGATTCCCAAGCACAGCCACAGTTCCCTATTCCTCTGGCCAAGTCAAAGCTCTCTCCTCTTCTGGGTCTAATTGCTGTTTCTGCTGGTCCAGTTCTACAACCTGTCCCCTTACCTCGCTACATAACCTTTTATGATGCTGCTGCTTGGGGAGTACCAAAGGGGAATGCTATTGAGTAGCAGTTGAGTGACAGCTCTAAGCCTGCTGGGATCACATGAAGATGGTGGTGCCTGGCAGCAGTCTTTGGGCTTCTGGATGTCTACACAGTGGAGCTTTTTATGGATGAATAACAATTCTATGCATTAAATGTAATTTTATGGAAATGTTTGTTAAATTTTAAAGGTTTGGTGACAGGGTCTCTTTAATACTAATGATAAAAAATCATTGGAAATTTGACTCAATTTAAAATCAGCCAAGTTTCCAAGATTCATAATTTTAATAGCTTTAATGCCTACACAATAAAAGCATCTCAAGCTTTTATGACACAAGTCTGCCTTAAAAGCTTGCTACAATTTCCACTACAGTTGGATATTAAAAGTTTATCATCAGTTACTTTTGTCCTTTTTGAGCAAAAGTATGCTTTTAAAAACCATTACATGTCTAGCATAGGACCATGCTTTTAACTGATCAACCAAGTGTATGCCATGGTTTTACATCCTCGTGTGTGTATGTATGTTTGCTATTATTATTGCGCATATAATAACACATTTTCATGTATTCAGCCAAAAAGCTGAGCCTCTACCAGGTACTTGCTCCGGATGCATATTCCCTTGTAGAGGATTTTGTTCCTATACTTCAGAAAAAAGTCTCATCTACGCTTCATAAGGTAAGTTTCCTTAACATACTATTTTAAAATGACACTATTATTGTCATGTGATTGCTTTTAGACCAAGACAGGAAGAGGTTAATCAACAAATTGGAAACATTTTTGGACTAAGAGGACAAATCAGGGCACTCAAATATGGGGAGAACATACAAACCCCCTAAAGTTAGCATCAGCAATGTTAGTCACTGTACTGCCATACTGTCTATTGACACATTATACTTCCTGTTGATGCTGTTTCAAATAGGCCCAGTTGGGTGTAGGTACTGAAGCTGGCATAGAAAAGTCCGGTGGGATGAAATCCTTGGACTGACCTGGGATTGGCCTGTGAACACCTTGAAAACAGCAGGAGTTTGTAGCCACGTCAGTAAGGTCTTGCCTTACTGACTGGCCACCTGCTTGGTGCCAGGTCAAATCCTATATCAGCCAGCAAGTACATCCCTGGTTTTACTGACTGAATGGTGGGTTTTGTCAAGGAATTAAAAGTGCAGTCTGTGACCAGCCAAATGTATTCTTTAATAGCCTTTAAGGTTACATCAATATAGCAAAGTAGGTGTGTAATGTTTTGTCTATTAATGTGACACTAAACTCAGAAGTTAAATCTTAAAAATGCATTTAAGTACCTTAACTATTAACAAAAATGTATCTTATTTGTGTATCACTCAGCTGTAGGTCCTCAAACCATCTCTGAATTTGTGCTGACACTGTCCTTTCTTCTGGAGGGTGACTACTTTTGTTCCCCATGGTCCCTGTGTTGTAAAGTAGCCACCACTCCAAACTCGCCCCTGTGATGGACTACATTCTCAATACAAATTAGTAAACGAAGCATGAGATTGTAGTCCATCATGGGAGTGAGCTTGGAGCGGTGGCTACTTTACAACACACACAGGGACCATGGGGGAACAAAAGTATCCGTCCTCCAAAAGGAAGGACAGTGTCATCACCAATTCAGAGATGATCTGAGGATCTACAACTGAGTGATAAACAAATAAGGTACATTTTTGTTAATAGTTAAAGCGGACCTTTACCCATATCTTTAAAATAACAACAAACACACCTTTAGAAATGTTTAGTAATGACAAATCTACAAACACATACTACTAGATAATTGCAGGCTTTGTATTCTCTGCATACCTTATCTCTCTTTTCTTCCCCAGTCTTCTGACAGTGGCCATGTTTACTAAGGGCAGATTACTAGCTATCCTATTACTTCCTGGATTTCTGGCACATGTGACTAGGACATGTGACCATGCACATCATCCCAGGGGTGGAAAATGCCTTTCCCTGAGATCTTATGAGATTACAGATGAGATTTCCCAGCAATGCTCTGCTGAAGACAAGTGTGCATTGCTTTCCCAGTGTGCATTGCTTTGCCAAACAAGTCATTGTGCCCTTTCAAAGCAGGAAGTGAATGCTCTGCAAGTTGAAGTATTTTAAAATCACAGTATTTTACACCTGACGTGCCTCTGTAATTATTGATCATCATACATAGAGTGATGCATTGGTAGAATTTAAAGGTCCACTTTAAGGTTGCATTTTTAAAATTGAACTTCTGGGTTTAGTATCACTTTAATATTAATAATTGTTATTGTATAACTGGTATAATACATAAGTTATTATTAACACAGTTCTATTATAATAAAGATGTTAATAATTTTGTAAATATCTTTTTATAGCGGGCAATGATGCAGTTTGAATGGCATGATGGCACTGTGAAAAACATTCATGTGGATCCTCCGTTGTTGTATGATTACCAGGTAGTGTCCTATTTTCACCATTATGGATTAGGAGAATCTTACACAAATGGAAAAATCATATAACATTAGATGTCTGTGATAATCCATGTATTTATTTTATGCATATTGCAGACTTGTGTATTGCAGTGTACTGCAATTCTAATGTTGTTCCAATTCCAATCGTTTCAGTAGCACAAATCCATGTACAGGACAGCCATACATTGTGCAGATTTAAAAAAAGAAAGTCTTTATTTGGGTATTGTGACAATTTGTGAGGCACTTGCGAGGATTAAAAGTATATGTTATTACTTTAAATAAGTAATAACAGGTCACCTCATAGTTCTAGCCGACCTGTGACAATGAGACTGTCACAGGTCGGCTCAGTAGATCGGGAGGTGAGCGAACACATACCGGCGTTCGCTCACCTCTCGATCTGGATTCCCCTCTCCCCGCTCCGATCTGCCAGTGCTGACTGGCGGAACAGACGGGGGAGGGGGCGGGTACAGCTGGCTCTGCCTCTAGATAGGCAGAGCCAGCTGTCACTCACGCAGCTGGGCGGATCTCGACATCGATGTCGGGATCCGCTCCGGCTGCGGCGTCTCAGTATACCGCGAGCTGTAGCTCGCGGTATACTGAGCCTAGGGTGACGGGAGGACGCTAGTTTGTGTCCTCCCGTTACCCTAAGGAGAACTATGGGGAAAAGCCCTGACCCTATAGTTCTCCTTTAAAACAAATTTAATTTACAGCTTCAATACACTTCATTAAAAAATCTTATTAAAATGGCAACCTACATCAATTTCGTCGTAGAAATTGGACCTGGGTAATTTCATTCCCATCTCTTGTTAGGAGGTGCTGCTGGATTTGAAATTGATGTATTGTGTAGAGATCTCCAGCTGATTTCAGCCATAAATTAAAGGATAGGTAAACGCAAGAAAAATACATTAATATAGCTTACAAATCCTATAATGTGGTTGTATTAGTTTCCTTTTCCGGATTAAGAACATTATTAGCAAGTACAGGATTTACATGTTAATCTTCCCAGAAATGCATTGTGCTTGTCATTTACTGTGAGCTTGGATGACAACCTTCATTGATCTAGTGGAGGGGAAAGTATGGCCACCAAGGAAGTGTGTTATTCGCAGGAATAGTAGTATACAAATAAAGGTGAAAATCCTGAAAAAAGAAAACTAATCTAGGTACCTCATTTATGGACTAGTAAACTGCAATATTAGATTTTTGGATGTAGATGCACTGTATGCTTCACGTCCCATGACTAGTCTAAAGCTCCCTCTGTTGTTGCTGCTAAGTTATCCATTTGATTGATATTAGTTTTAGTTCTTATGGCCATAGATGCTAAGAAAAGATACAAATGCCTTTGAAAATATGGGTAACAAATGAATACAAACTTGTATTTTAATTTTCTTTATTATCTGTATACACAGAAACAGCTAGCAAAAGTAGCTCAGACGTATGAGAAAAGGATAGACTGGCTTACTAAAGGAAGTAGAAGAATTTGGGGAACGATTTGTGAAAAAAGGTATGCATGTGTGAGTAGTATTTTATTTTCTGCAGTGTAGGGATGTTCAGATACCAGTTCAGATATCAGTGCCGATACTTGGCATTTTAATGAGAACTACCAGGGTTGCAGCAGTTGTAGGTGTGACTGGGCTCTGGCGCTGCACCACTGTCCTGAAATCATTAGTCTGTATTGTTTTTTTTTAAAAACTGTCACATGACAATAAACAAAAATGTATCAGTAATTGTATCTGTGCGTACTTGGACAAGTATTAGTACTTGATCTGGAAAAAATGGTATCGGTGCATCCCTAACATATAAAAAATGACAGCTGCCTCCTAACTTTTGAGTTTTTCTCTAGTCTAGTCTTGGAGCTGGAAAAGTATCTGTACTTGTACCAAGTACGGTACTTGGTATCTGAACATCCCTAATACAGTGTCTTAAAGTGACCATAAACATCTACTATACCCAGCCACTGATGAAAAATGTAAATGGGAACACCTAAATGGGCAAGGTCTAACAGGGGTGGTTCGTTCTAAGTCTGTATAGAAAAGTAGGAACACTTTAAGGATTTACAAGAGCTTTCATTTAGTAGCAGGATAGCTTACCCCATCTGCAATCCACTGTTACTAGTCTCTAGTCTAAATACAAGGGACTGACAGAGGTGGATCATTTGTAACAAACAACTTGCAGAGACATGTTTGCCTGGTAATGTACACTATTGTTCTTTCATTAGCATAAATCTATTATGAAGACAGTCCAAACCCACACTTAATTACCCAAGTCAATATAATAATTAAGTTGCCCTATTCTACTATTACAATTTAAGGAACAATGCCCTGGCATTGGTGGTCAGCGTGAGAAAGAATGTCCCAACATTGTTGATCAGAGGGACGATAAATTCACCAGCATCGGTAGTCAGTGGGAGCAAGAATTGCCCCAGCATTTGTGGGCAGTGGAAACAAGATTTGCCCCAGAAATGATGGTCAGTGGGAGCAAGAAGTGCCCCAGCATTGATGGTCAGCGGGAGCAAAAAGTGCCCCAGAGTTGGTGGTTAGTGGGAGCAAGATTTGCCCCAGTATTGCAGTATTGGTGGTCAGTGGGAGCAACATTTGCCCCAGTATTGGTGGTCAGTGGGAGTTAGAATTGCCTTAGAATTGGTGGTAAGTGGGAGCAAGATTTACTCCCATCATTTGTGAATAGTGTGACCAAGATTTGCCCCAGTGTTGGTGGGCAATGTGAATAAGAATTGCCTCAGCATTGGTGGTCCGTAAATGGAAGAATTGCTCCAACATTGATGGTCACTAGTTACTTACCTCAGGAGACATTCCGGGTCCCTTGCCACCAGCTCTTGCTTTGTCTAGTGATATCACCACTGAGAAATTTGTGCAGAACAGCCTGCACATTAGCAGGTGTTGCTAAACCGTGGCAGGGCCAGGCAATGCTACTGTCACTGCAGGGGCATTATGGACCCTGGTCCACTGGTGACCCTGTTCGAACCCTGGTCATGTGCAAACTGTGTGCCCCGATAGGATCCATCTGTAGTTAAAGAGGGTAAATCTGCCGATTAGAAGTCATGCCTTAAAGATCCAACTTTTTTCAATCTGTTCAAACTCATATTGCATAAGCATGCATGACTGTTCCCTGAGGTGACCCCTCTCAATACCATTATCCTTCGGAAATGGTAGCTATTGCCTGGGAAAGTTAAACTCTTGATTTGCCCTATAGACATGTTTGTGTCTTCCTTTACGGTGAATATCTGCAGGTATCATCTGGGAGATTAGTGCCTTTGTTGCTCGACTGGTTTGTTGAAAATATGTTGTAGTTTATTTGTAATTAGTTCATAGAGTCATTCTGTTACATATTTTCTTCATGCCAATCTTTTATGTTAAGCAGTAGTATCAAAGTGCTAAACAGGTGATTAGTGATTAGTGGGACGTGTAAAGACTGAAAAAGTGCTTGAGGAAACAATAACATCCTTATCTTTTAATAAATCTATAAACACTTTTTTAAAATTATGCAACTTTATTTAATCTTGATATGTTTGTCATCACTAAAACATGCTTACTTCATGATTCATCACAGGGATGGATTTAACTTATCAACCAGAGTGATCAGAGATTTGCGACGCTCGGCGAGGTAAGTAAGAAGACACCTGGCGCTGACTCGAGTATAAGCCGAGGGGGGCACTTTTCACCCAAAAAAATGGGCTGAAAATCCCGGCTTATACTCGAGTATATACGGTACTCTTCCCAATACTTTCTTTTGTTTAGCTGATCATGTTACTGTTTTTGTCGCAGATGCTGCAGTGCCGTCCGTCCGTTTTTTTACTACGGGCGGACGGCAAGAGGTTAATGAATTACAGGCAGATAATTATTTCTCGTGGTACAATACATAGGTTTTTTTTTTTTTTCAATTTATGAGATATTATGTTTAAAATGTAAAAAGAATATTATTCATTTAATTACACAAGTGAGAGAAAGAGAAGATTATCTTAATTATGACTAAAGCTGAATTTGAGCAGTGTGTGGCCCTGTCAGCAGCCCTCCTTTTGACAAAAGTCAATTTTTCATTCGACTTTTGTCAGTGGAGCCAGTCCGAAAATTCTTGGGCTACTATGGACTGCAGCTAATTAGCTGAAGTTACTGTTGCGGTATTCTGACACCCACCGATGCCAAAATACATTAGCCCAGCAGGGGGATTCCCCCATCCACGCTATTTGGTGTGGTTGAGGGAATCAATCGAACGAGGCAGGGCTTTGCTTCGTGATGTCAGAGCTACCCCCCGATGACTAGTCAGTTAATAACCGAGAGGCAGCTGGAGAGGTACAGAAAGCACCAATCCAGAAAGTGATTGAAACAAAGCAGGGAGATCCTTACACTGCAGCTACTCATGTACAGCTTCCTCTCCAATAAGGAGAACAGTGAGCAGCACAGTAGTGACCGCACCAAATCTCCTGAAACTAGCAGTCAGAGGCAGCAGTGCCTTAGACCTCACAATGCAGATATACAGCTATGAGGCTGTAGGCACATAAAGTGCTTTGCTATTTAACAGGAAGAAATCAAGACATAAGATATATCTTTTAGGGCACTGCTTAGGCACAATTAATATTTCTATGAGTTCCCTATAAGGCAGCAGATTCTAATTTTTTGATAAACACACTAAGATTTTGCATTATTTTTGCATGCTTTCGCTTCCATTTTACTAAATTAAAAGTACATGTATCCGCTAGAGGGATCTTTGCATTTCATCGGAATCACACAGCCTTTCTTTTTAACAACTGTAGACGTATGATATCAGCCACAAAGGGAGTGCAATGCTTTCAGTGGGTCAGCTGACTTATAGTCCTGCAGAGTGAGTGAGAGCAGGAACCTCAGTATAAGGACTTATTAGCACTTGCAAACAGTACTTGAAACCCGGCGCTTGTGACAGGTAATAGACCGACCTTCTCACCATAGATAACCAACAAACGATCTTCGCACACCGTGCTGCCCCCTCACAAGGACTAGGGAACCTGTCTGTTTAAACTTCTATAACCGGTTTGATGTAAACACAGCGCATGGAAACTGGAAAGAACAGTTGGTATTAATAATAATGGTCACCTCATCTGGAGTAATAAAATAAAGACCCGGTTCTCTCAACTAGAGACTTAAAAAAAATGGCCGTCTAATAACTAAATGGTGACTTAGTCCCCCCAAAAAACAAAGAATGATGGTTTTTAGGTCAAAACATCACACAGACAATTGGTTTGGTGTGTGTGCATGTGGGGGAGAACAAGTGCATGCATGTACATGTTTTTGTCTTTGGACTATGAAATATTTTGCGCCAAGCAGGGAGGAAAGAAATCAGGGATTCGCCGATGTATCGGCAGGAAAATGGCACTTTCGGCATTTAGCCCATATGTTTCGGCGGCCAATATATCGGTGCATCCCTAATTTTTATAACTTTATAGTTCTCATTTATTAATTTTTCTTCTTGGGCTCAATACGTGCTTGCATTGTTTTTAAGATTTATGCGCCAATGAGTTTAGCCGCTTGTGATGTTTTGACCTAAAAACCATCGTTCTTTGTTTTTTGTGGGGGACTAAGTCACTATTTAGTTATTAGATAGCCGTTTTTTAATTATCTTATGCATACTCATAGCTCTCACAATCTTTATTTTGTTTTTTTCTACAGGGTTATATTGCTTGTGGACACTTCAGTTGAGAACGCTATGCACATCATACATATCCAGCATTCTCTGAGACTTTTACTGGAGGAACAAATGGGAAACAAAGACTTATTCAACATTATATCGTAAGTTGCCACATTTATTGATTAAAATTAACCATAGAAAATACGCTTAGGGAAAATAAAAAAATATATAAGGATTATTTCAAAAAGCTTTATGAATTGACAGAGAAACACAAACTTAAGGTTTTCAATAATGCTGACTTCTCAAACCAAATTGAAAAAGGTCAGCGCTATCCCAGCACAGGATAACACTACCGGTGGCTCTGAAGAGGTGATCTACAGTAAAATGAACTAACGGGTCTCCCTGTATTTCCTCTATAAGAAACCTCTATTATGGAAACACAGCACACCAGCACACCTTGAGTACTAGGCTCGGTTGCTATGGATTATGACAGCTCCAATTCTACTTGTCTAGGGATACATTCACTCGCTTCTGCCCATCAGCACTTACCGCCCTCTTGAGTAATCGATTGAAGTGAGGTCCAGACTGTAATTATGATGCTTGGAACATTTATTGAAGAACTTCAGGGAGAGAGAGGAGAAGGGTTAGGATAATCCAGGCAGATGTAGACTCCATGGCTTTTCAGAGAGAGCGTGGTTACAGCTTCCATGCACAGCCAGCCAGGCACCTGACACTGCATTGCTTGAGGTAGAAGTTACTGATCCTTGTCTTTAGCAGTACCAGCCACTGGACCTGCGGGCCACCAGGCTCCAGGGTGATTCCATGGCTAGTCCCCAGACTTTGAGGCCTAGCCAGCTCAAGCAGTCCAGCGCAGCCTCCCCTCAGGCTCGGCCTGGGGGAGGAAGAGAGAGCTCACATGGTCCACCCAAAGTATTTATCTCCTCCCCCAGCATGCACCACTGGCTATCGTTCAACAGTGATTGGCTGGATAGGGATATCCACTCATAGCAATCCCATTGGTTGCTCTGTTCTATCACCAGGGCACACCCTGCAGTACCTCTGGCAGCAGACAGATGTCAAGCAATGATAGATTGCTTAGGGGCAAACCACATGAACCAAGACTACAAATCCATATCTGACCACATACAATCTGATAAACACTAAATTTTAAAACACCCTTTCCACTAGGGCGCTGCACGATCATGCAAGGAGAGCAATACAATTTGCTCTAACTAGCTGAATCACACTTAATACAATTTATATGTCCTAAGTTGGGTGGGAACCTCTCTACATGATTTGAGGCATTACCCTTGCTTCAGACAGAATCTGTTGAGTTGACACAAGTTGGTAAAAACAATCCTCCAAGGACAGATCACAATGTTGTAGACACAAGGCTCTTGTCTCCTGCCCTGTCAGATTGGGCTGTGCGCAGGAGCTATGTTAGGTTTTTTACAGTTAAAAGAGCTCCCATATATTGATTTTATCTGTGTGTTTAGCTTTTTGCCTGTAGATTAGCTTTAATGATTAAAAGTTGGTTGAAAGTGGTTCAAATTGCCTGAAAATTGCCATGTGTATGACCAGCATAAATATACTATTCAATATATTTACAGTAAATGTCAGCCACACACAGGAATTTTCAGGAGATTTCAGCTAGTGGAAGGATTCAGTCTACCACTCCTATCTAGTACCACCACTATCTAATGTGTTATTAGGCTGCCTCGTTCATTTCAGTTGTTTTTTTTTTAGTTAAAAGGATGAATTGCCTAAAAATAATTGTACATGTCCATTGTTACTAACTAAATCTTAGATAATAGTATGCACATTTTTAAGTGTGGTGTGCTTTGTTTTGCAGATTTGGAAATGATATTCGGTTTTGGAAGCCAGTGATGGCTCCTGCAACTTCAGAAAACCTGCAAAGTGCATGGAAGTAAGTTCTTCAGCACAACACAATGGCTTAATGAATATAAAACAAAAATAGTACAGTGTTCCCAGTATATTATAGCTACATTTTATTTGTCTTTATCAAGGCCCCATTGCATGGTTATCTTTACATTAGTTCCTCTCTGATAAAGCAGAACTATAGCACTAAAAGCTAGGTGAAAAAGGCTTGCTGTACAATAATAATCATTGATGAATATAGTTTGTTATGTAAGAAAACCTCTGTAATTCCGTAGTTGTTCCGGCACATTGCTTTCCTGCCTTACTCCCCCTTCTCGTAATCTCCCTCTGCTCCGCTCAACAAATGATGTCTTCTCCTTTCACACTTTGCTGTCTGCATGCCTCTTTAGTGGTTCTAGAAAACATGCTACCTGCTGAAGTAACCGTGGATGTAAACAAGCTGAAGGGGGACCACAGCCTGCCAGTATGGGGGCGCAAATGCATCTGAGCATCTTTTAGATTGTAAGCCCTCACTGGCAGGGCCCTCCTTACCATCTTGTCTTGATTTGTATTGTGATTGTAATGTCTTCCTTATATTGTAAAGTGCTGCACAAACTGTTGGCGCTATATAAATCCTGTATAATAATAATAATAATAATCTGGCTTGGAGAATTGTGCATGTGCATTAAGAAGGGGGCAGGAGATAGAGGCATACTAAATATGCTCTAAATACTGAATACTACAAGAACGTTTTGCATGGTGTAACTTGCAAACTTTATGCAAGAGTAACATATTGCGCATTCTGGCTAAAAATGTTTTTTTAATAAAGTTCTGCTTTGAAGCAGAAGTAGTCTGAGGTTGACAATACAGGACAAAGAGAGAGGATAAAATCAACTCTGGCACTGAAACCCACATGCTACATTAGTATATACCATCACAAACTTCCACACCTCTTGAAATAATAATGTTTACATATTGACACAACTTTCAGCACACTAGTAATAGTAGTTATTAAGTAACAATGAATGCAAAAGTCTACATATGTTAAAGCCTATATTTATGGTGGCAGCCATGTTGTCCCATGTCACCGATCTCCTTTAAGTATTTATGTTGGTTGCCAGGTCCCTTAACACCAATAGTCACACTGTGCAGCCATTTATGCTTAGCTTCTAAAGAGGCTGGAACAGGTGCACTACAGGCTTGTCTAGCACTGTCTTAAATGCAAAGATCAGTAGCAATCAGAAAAGGATTTCCAAGTTCTCCAGTAGCAACTCTTCTTGACATATGTCATCCAGCAATCTCTGCTTGTCACCAGCAGATTTTGCCAGAAGGGTTTGGATCGGTAGATTATTATTTGCTGTCTACAGTCACATCTAAGCAAGGCTTCCCAAGACAGATGGGTTGGGAAACATTTGCCCTTCATTCATTGCACTGGGAGTTCTTCTAATAAATTAATCTTAAACATATATTTGTCTTCCAGGTGGATTCTTAACCTCCAATGTGAGGGTGGGCGAAATGTTCTGGGAGCCATTAAAAGAGCCACTGAATTTAACTTCGATGATCGAGAAGACGGAGAATCCCAGGGAATATACTTGTTTACTAGTGGTCTCCTAGATCAAGAGCTAGTGAGTGAAAATGAATAATACCTTTTTAGACTGCCATACGGTAGTATTAAACAAAAGTCTTTTACATTTAGTGTAATTTCAGTAGCCGTTGGCACTGCTCCTAGAACCATGTCCTATGCATTTAGAATTTCTAAAATTGTTCACCATAGAAGTAACTCTTCTCTACAGTAGAGGCAGTTGTCATACTCGGTAACACAGTTTAGAATTGGATACACAAAAACAGAGAATATAGTCTCCAAGGTGAACTTGAATTATTGTTGACTTAATAGTATTAAACTATAAACTATTCCCAAGAATCCTTCTTCTGTGATTGGAGGTGGAGACATGGGGACATAGATGTGACATGATCTCTCCTCCAATCACAGAAAGTCTTGTATTCTTTGAGAAAATACAAGGCATTTTGTAAAAGGGCAAGTAGTGAGGAGGGATGGGGATATGACTGAAGCACTTCACTGCTCAAGATGCTTCCCTCATTCCCTGCAGTGCCTGGAAGGTGATAGTTATGTCTAGGGGCTGACATGCTGCAAGATAAGATTTTAATACTTTGCAGCTGCCCTCCACTCATAACATACATCTTGTTAGTGATAATTTACACACCCATTGCAGTGTGTAAATAAGCTTCTGGGCAGCGTAGGTTGCATCAACGTGCTTCCTGGCAGAGCTGGGCACTTGAAGGAGTGCATTCTCGTGGGATTTCAAACACCCAGCTCTGCCCCCAGAGAGTGATTTAACACACACCTCCTCTAAGCATCAGAAGCTACAGACCAGGTTTTTAGTAAAGTCATTTGTGTTGGTGGTCAAAAGGTTGGCAAAAAAACAGCCCTCCTGTTTCCATGCATGATCCAGTTTAAAGGGACACTGTCATGATATTAGGGAGATTAGATTAGAGATTAGGATGCCCTTACTGAACTCTGCTGAGAAAGCTAGATCCCTGTTTATTGTTCTGATGCTTTGACTTCAATTCTGTCTGTCACTGACATGGAGCAAGTATAGAGATAATTGGTTCTAACACTCATTTACAGCATACTTTTTTCTGGGACTGTGACTGAAATTTACCGAAGTCAGACTTCCAGGCATCTAGCATTTTCAGGAGTCTAGCAATGGCAACCACCATACTGCTCTCATAGTCACTTTAAGCACCTGCACAAGCATTAAAAAACATAAATTAATAAATACTTTAAATACAATTATTGCACTCTCCAGCCTTAAAATATCAGTAGTAGATTGCTATAACAAATTGCTGTCAGTGATGTGTGGATGATCTAACAAGATGCCTTCTTCCTCCTCCCTGCAGCATGCTGTGTCTGCTTACTTGTCTGAAGCTGCCTCTGGCTATGATTTACAGCTTCATGTCTGTCTGTTCAGCATCGATGATGACAGATCTGATCACTTCAGTGACAGGAGTGACACAGCCCGTGTTTTACAAGATTTGGCTCATGTCACTAATGGAAGGTTTCACTGGTTTGCTGACAAAGGTAAACTTGCAGCTAGAATTGGCAAAGGAAGCAAACAGCAGTTAGTGAATATGTGGCAAAATGATGGCAATCACATTATATGTTAATGATCTCTACATTCAAATATATATCATATGCCTATAGTATACACAACCTCTGCAGGCTACAAATATATACATGAAATATTCTTACAATTTTGAATGCAAAGTAACTTTTTATGTGCTAAATGTAGTGGATTAAAAAAAAATTGTAGTATACCAAAATCTATAATGCTAAATTAAATAAATATGCTGTAGTTTGGCCACCATGTTAGAGATATTTGGTGGAATGATAGTATGAAAATTATTGTGGCCTGTGTATTTTGTTCCTGCTTTATCATATAGTCGCTTATGGTAAAGTGGGCCAAAAGGATCCAAAAAAGTACAGAACTGACTTCTTAAAATAAAAGGTCAAATGTACTTTCACCTCTTTCCACCCTCCACACCACCCTAGTATGTGGCATCATAGCATTCAAACCATCTACCATTACTCACATGTCTTGAGTCAATCTAGGAATTTCCAAAAGGGCTTACTCCACACCCATTTACCCTGTTACCCCAAACACAGAAGTTCCAATTGCATCAATCGTGTTGTGTTGAATACTTCTTACTTCATGTGTTGTGTTATGTTATTTATGAAGGTTTGCAATATACAGTAAGTGGTCATGTTGAAAACTACCTTGTCACTGTATATCTACTGTACGCTGTATGCTCATGTATTCATACTGTATGTGGTGGACACAACACTTT